AGTTGTATTCCCAAGATGAGTTGGAATATTGTCTTACCTGCAACAGTTCAAGCAATAAACTCAAGTTCGCGATTGTGACTTAGACCAGTCATATGTGAGACGATCGCCAGAGATATTCTCTTGCATACATATGCGAGTGTCAGAAAATACTAATTTAAAGTATGTGGCGCATTTTTTAAAAAATCGCTATATTTGTCATGCACGGTAGTACAATAGTACGAATAAAAAGACGCGACGCGTTTTACCCCCTGATAGGATTTTCTACTTTTCTTTCATAATTCATTTCTTTCACACGATGACTTGGTACAAGTACTTTGACGAAAATGAGACTAAAACCTGGACCATTTATAAATTCCACAGGGATTGGATTCGTACATACGAAGAGAACGATGAGAACCTTACCTATAGTAAAGCTGTGGACACACTTGCAAAGAGCCTCCGTGAGATCGCTAACAAAAGTTCTGATCCTGCAAAAATTCGAAAAGCTAATAATCTTCTAAAGGCAAGTATTTGTCTCTATTGGAAAATGTCCTCTGCAATAATCTTCTAGATAATTGCGGTTGTCCACAACAAGGAACACAACTTTTAGTCGATCTTCTGATGATCTTTTAGATCGCATTGTGGTTTTGACATCCATAACTAGGAGGTGTGACGCTTTTAGCTGGTCCTCTGACAGATCTTTTAGATTGTTATGGTTCTTGGCACTGATTATTCTTAACATGCAGAAAATACTTTACTTGTTGGGTCGAACTAATAATATTTTTCTCATCTTCAGAATTATAACCAGAGAAAGAAAGGAAACAATCTCGATAAATTATGGCTCTCTGTCGAAAAAAAGGAAGTTCTTCGAGAAAAGAACATAAATACTGGAACTAACTGTATACAGTTGGTCTCATGCGAAGGTATACAAATTAGCAACATCGGACAGAAAAGAGGCCACGATAATGAAGAATTGGCGACTCCAGAAACAAAAAAGGTCAGAGTATAATTTATTTTTTGAAATTCAACTTGAAATTAACGATAGTTGTATAAATTATATTAGTTATCAGTTGACTTTTCGGAAAGTGATGATAAACATCAAGAAGATGACGATGAAGTGATGTGGTTAGAGGTCTGATTATTTTTATACATATCTCCTTAATTAATAAGTTCGTTGCTGAATAAACTCATTTCTTATTATAGAGCCCGATTGTTAAAAGGCTTCGAGAAATCAATGGAATAGCTCGATACAGAATTATATTTCTTCCAGAAGAAAATGAGTGCAATCCAATTAAGTCATCTTTCACCGAACAAGAATGGTTAAAATTCGAAGCTGATTGGCAAAAAGTTTGTGGCCTTATACATGTTTATTAAAATAATTTTGACAAGAAATTTATGCATTTTTTTTTTCTAGGTCGAGGAGAGGTTGGTCGTAAATAGTGGAGTAAATGAATGCATCGAGGGTTTACTGAATAAATATGACGATGCAATTAACAAAGCAACGACCGGATATAGTGTTAACCTGAACAGAATAATTGGAACTTTTAATGAATGTACTCTCATCGATCGACATCATTATAGCTTTAGTAAAGAATGGCCATTACAATGGATACAATCCGTTTATAATGCATTGTATGTAGTATTTTCTGTTTTGATGCTTGAGTTGATGATATTGAATTTTATTTGTTTCGTAGTTCGTTGTGCTTCAGTCTCGCAGTCAATCCGCTTCACAACGCAGACTTATCGGAGTATGCATACAGAGATAAAATCGTAAATACCCTAATAGAAAACGTTTTCCTTGACATAAACGAAGTCATTTTTATGAGAACGTAAGTAGTCTATCTATGCTTTCGAATCGCATAGCAATTCAAATGATATTTACTGACGTAAATCTTATCACTGATTAGAGGTGAAATAGAAAACAACGATCGAAAAATTCAGAAGGATTCTAGTAGATCACCGGGGGTACGACGTGCTACTGGTTGGGAACACGATGCATTACTGATAATGAAGGTGAAGAGTGTCGATTATTAAATAGGGTTTGGGGAGGTAGTAGGCAATGCTTGCGAACATGACGACGCAAAAATGGAGCGAGATCGAGAAAAGATTCTTAAATGTAAGTAGGGATTCTTTTATTTTTTTTCTGGCTGATTAAGTTATGGTAACTATGGTATGCCTTAATCTCAACAGCCATGCAACTCGGGCTTTTCCGATTGCGACAATCGTTGCAGGAACGAGGAGCTGATGAAAACAACTTTAATTGCGCTGAGACGTTTGGGATTCTCGTGTACAGTAAGTGACAATCCATTGTGCTTCCTTTTTACTAAAACTCGACATTTCCTAACTTTATTTATTTCACAGAAAAAGATTATCGTTTTTATTCCATGCACTATGCCAATGGTATATATCTGGTGGATAAATTTGATGAATTCGCGATACCATCCAGCGTCAGTCAATTGTGTGAATTATCAGAAATAATAAGGTCATTGCTCTCATTTAAGGTAATAGTCAACATTAAAGTGTTTCTATTGAAATTTTAAATAATGTCTTTGAAACCTTTTTCTTTATCGTAGAATCGCGTTATAAAACTTCACGACAATGTACAAAATCTGTTCGGTGGAAAACGCCGATTCATACAGAAATCTCGTCATTATGGTAAGATCGCTACCAAGACATCTCCTAAATCGCCTTAATGATTAAAACTAAACTCCAATCCCAACAACAAAAATTCTTTCATTTCTTAACAAGCGGTCAGGCGGTCTTAACTTTTAAAAATAACTGCGAAAAAAATATTTTTTTAATTATTGTGCAACAAAGTTAAAAATTCGCGATCTTATTGCATACTCAAAATAAAGCTTTACTATTTCGTACTTTAAATCCCTATTATCATTTGACTTTTTTAAGGATTTCACTTACTTGAAGCTTTCGCCCGCATTGGCTTGTATTTTTACATGCTTATAATTTTCCGTATCAACTAAGGATCTACTGCGTCAAGTGTTACTCAAGTGTGAACATATGTTCACAGCTACCGAAATTTTTCCGGATTTTAGATAAGCCAAATTTTACTCAAATGTGATCGCCTGTTCACACTTGCCGAAGTTTTTCCATGTTTTAGACATGTGTAGTTATCGTTTCACAGTAAAAATAATGAAAATCCTTACCAATGAAAAATAATAAAGTTTTGCCTACATTGGGCCTAGTGTTTTTTAACATGTGTGATTTGAGTTCTGATATCGTACAAATATAATCTTGATTTTACACAGTTCGATGATCAACACCCCTTGAAGCATAAATCACGGGTGATATGTGAAATAGATATCTGCATAACATGTGACTTTGAAACAGCATTCAGCTTTTTCGGTTGGCCAGCCAATTTACAATAAAAGTACTTTCATTTTTTATTTTTCAAGTAGTATTACAATGCACTTACACATGAAAAAATACAAAAATTGCTAAACGTTATTCTATACTAACGTAAAAATCTTATTTTTGCTGTTCGCTTGACCTTTCATCATAATTGATGGTAACATTGATTACATTCGCATTTTGCGAAAAAGAAGGGATAGTTGGAGTCACGGGTCTAGAGATAGGAGGTGTTTCGATAGTTGATGGTGTTAGCGGTATTAATGATACAGGAGAATTTTCGACGGTTTTAGATGA